GGGAACAGATTGATTCCTCAGGGCCACCGTGTAGCACAGAAAGCTGGTATTCTGACAAGGGAATAGAATTTCATGATGGAAAAGCCTAGATTAGGAGGTATTGAGAGACTGACATACACTTGGGTGTATCTACGGGTATCTGTCAGCCAGTAGCCAAATCTGATTCCTAGTTTGGGGGCAAAGGATACAGAGATCATGGCTATGTAATCATGGACCCCAAGGAGAATATTAAACCAGATATACCAAGAATAATGTTCTAATTATTAGAACTTGGGAGCAAAGTCGGTAAATAATTTTGGGAACACAGGAAATCTAAGTTTTCTAAATTGGGGCAAAGGTCAAGCTCAGAAAATGTAGAAATGAAGAAAGTGGAATGCTGGTGAATCATTTATTTAAAATCAGTGATGACTATACATGGGAAGGTTAATGCCAGGATCACAGCAGGCCCCTAGTATTTGTCAATTCCTCTTCTCTCTCCCAAGACCAACAACTAGGTGGCAGCCCTTGAAAGCCCAGAGCACACTCAGAAGTGGTTTCTGTGCCAGATTAAAAGAGTATAATGAATGTAGTCAATCTATTTCCTAAGATGCTCAGAGGTGCTGAAATTATTGGAAATGGGAAAATGTTCCATTGTGTCCTCCACATTCTAAAGGCCCTATCACCCAAATACTGATTTGCCTGCAGAGATCTTTACCAATATAAAACTTACAAAAACAAACGCTAGTTTCATTCCTTTTTAAGTTAAATTACACAAGTCAAGGGCCTCCCTGGTAGCACAGGGGTTAAAGACAGTGCTATCAAGCTATAGCCAGCCACTGCAGCATGAGTTCAATCCCGTCCAGGGAGTTAACCCACATGGCGCAGCAGACCTCTCCTGTCTCACCCACTGCTCCCCTCAGCAGTGTATTTCAGTCAATCTGCCTGTTCTGCCCGCCCCCACCCACTCTGTCTCTGGTGAATCCTCTCACCCCACACACCTCTAGCTATACCCAGTTCTTATATGCATAAATAAATAAATCTTTTTTAAAATTTATGCAAGTTATCTCTATTAACACTACCAAAATGGGGATTTTAAATGTTTATTATAGTCACTGAAAAAGTTAGTGGTTGTAAACAGTATTGGTTTTAAACCTTCTAACATGAGGGCATGAGGGTCTCTCATGTATTTTATTTTTTTTAAAGATTTATACAAGCTCGGGGGTGGGGGGGCGGCAGGGGGTATACAGGCCAGAGGCGCAGGAGGGCGAGAGAATTCAGAGACAGAGCGGGGAGCATAACAAGCAGATGGACCAAGGACACTGCTGAGGGGAGCGGCGGGCGAGACAGGAGAGGTCTGCCATGCCATGTGGGTATCTCCCTGGTATGCCAGGAATCGAACCCGTGCTGCAGAGGCTGTGGACAGCTTCATAGCACAGCGATCAACCCGCTGCACCACTGGGGAGGCCCTCTCATGCATTTTAAACCTCAACCATGGAGCATTACTTTATGAGTGGTTCTGATATAAGGGTCTAGACATCACTTCATAAAGTGGACCAATTTTAAGAAACTTACAAGCAGCTTTCTCCTTTTGCTGCCATACAAGGTTAGTGAGGCTTCAACACTGAGTGTGTCTTCAGCATAAAATAACCCACTAGAAGATCACATACCAAGTGATAAGATTATGTATGTGAAATAAACTTTCTTACACTGATCTGTGATTCAGCAACATTTCTCGAGAGTGGCAAAGTGCCGGGGGCTCTGTACCAGGGAATATACCCACATGGTTGCCCAAGTCTCTGAAAGATATGCCAGCACAACATGCCACAATTTGGCTTCACACTGGAAATTGCATTTCTTAAAAGTATTCTTCTTTGGTAGGTTACATACATGCAACCACAAGCGCATACACACCCAATTCTGTTCTTCAGACTCCTTCTTTTAAGTAGCATTTGCTAATATTAAGCCTGTTATCGGCTCCTGGTGTTTATCTTCTGCTTTATCAATTCCGGAGATATTCTGGGTTTGTCTAACAGTCCAAGTGCAAAGCCACAGCTACACAGCCTAAGCAGTGATCATGTCTCACGCTGGACAAATCACTATAGCCACAAGTCAACCCAACTGCAATTGTGGATAGAGTCAATATTGAACCTTATCCAAATTTCATCAGCCTTCCTTCCACCTTAATTTTCTGTGACCAGTTTTACCTAGATAGTGCTGGCACTCATTTTGTTATTAGAGGGATGAAGCATTTTTATTATGACTATTTAAGACATGTTAGAGTTTTCTTTTTAATTAGTACTGGATAATTTAAAAAGAACATGTCTTTTCTAGAAATGTCACCAGTAAAATGCATCCAATTTTTCTCTAATGTGGTGCTTTCCCTGTCCATAAAACTTATTTGATTAGCAGTACTATAGAAGCTAAAGCTTTTGTACGCAGGCACTCAAGCATAATTTAATCATTTTATTTAAGCATGAAAAAAATTATTCTGAAAGCCCTGTTAGGTAAAATATCCCTGATTAGTTTAAACTTACATTTGCAGGTATATTAAGGGTGAAATAAATCATAGAATGCTCAGTATGCAGTGGAATAGTGTTAACTTTGTTATAATAGTCAGCAGTCAGTTAAAAATTGTAGTATTAGAGAATGTAAGGAATAACTGTCTCATTTTAAATAACTATATTTAAACAGGTTATTTTAAAATAAATTTTGTTTTGTGCGAACCCTTTTTATATTACCAGGATTTTCACCTATGGAAACCTCTTTCATAGTCAAACAAGATGAGGTCCTAATTGCATAATACCATTTATCTGCTGAGGATAAAAATGCCAACAAATGAAAATGCACATTAGGCAAGAGATTGTCAGAATAGAAAATTGTCTTTTATTTTTTTTATTTTTTTGTTTTTTTGTTTTTAAATAACCCACTCACATTAACAAAAGACTGCAGTAGCTTCCAAATTATAGGTTGTTATTTTTAGTGGAAGTAGTTCAATATTCATATTGGAGCAGATGTAGCAGTTTAACAAAACAGCTCTTCAAATCCTGCACAAATTGAAAACAGGAAAACTGATTGCATTTTCTCTTATCACTTTCCTTTTCTGAATTGACACTTTTGGCCTACTGAAAATTTACACATGGCTTTCATCTCAACAGCACCTGCTGATCAAATAGAAACCTAACATTTTCATGAAAATGGTATAAAGGACTAGTTTTGTTCTAAATGCTGTAAAGGGCATCAGTTGCCTACTTGATGGCAACAATTGCTGTGTCTAAGGCATATTCATAATAGTTTTAATATTTTCATTAAACTTTTTTAAAAATATGCTAAGTCCCAGTTTTTTTCCCCCCATCTTCACTTTTGGTATGATTCAAATTTCTTTTACTCAATGACTGCCTAGTACTTAGTTTTATCATGCAAAGGCTATACCAAATGTGTAAAAATGTAGATTAAGATAATGAGCACTTAGTATTTTCTCTGTCACTGTTTAGAATACACATGTATTTATCCAGACATATTATAGACGATGCATGCCCATGGACGGAAAAGATATATGCTCCATTTTTGGATTCCACCCGCCAACAGAAAACAGGAAACAAAAAGTCAAAGTCAGGCCCTATTTTTGAAGGGGCTTTACATATTCTTTTATCAGATATAGATTTAGCAGGTGCTTGGATGTTTGCTACCCCGGACTGGAAAGGAACAGATGTCACCCAAGCACAAGCTGGTAAACAACTAAATGGCCTGACCAACTACTCACTGCAAATACCTCCAGGGAAGAAAAAGGTACATCTTGAAAATGGGTATTCTGATGTGTCACATACACAAGATTGGTAGCTAAGCTGTTTCTCAGATTTTTAAATTAAAGTGCTCCATAGATTTCTCTGTGACACCCAATTCTGGGTAAAATTAAAGAAGCTCCTAGGACATGCTGTCAGTTTCTTAGCCCAAAGATCACTCCACCCCTTCTAAAAGATTCCAGGCTGTCCATTCCCATTCTGCCTGAGTGATAAGGTAACCTAAAGGCAGAAATGACATACAGTAATATATGTGCCACTCTGACCAGTTGGTCTGTGAATTTCAGTGTTTCATCATGCTCACTGAGGCAAAGGCAAACCTGAAATGTCAATATGTTCAGTCAATGGAAGTGAAATAATGGGACTCTATTGTCTTACCCAATCGATTTGCCGCTGTCAACAAGGAAACAGGCCCCCTGGCTTTAAACAAATTTTAATTAGGCTTTTAGTTACTGGATCATATTTACCTATAGAAACACCTACCTAAAACAATGAGTAGGAGGCAAAAGCAATCTTTTTTTTTTTTTTTTACTTTTTCCCTTTCTAAGAATATTGAAAAGTTGATACTATAATTTTTTGAAATACATTCATGAGTCAATAAAACATTTCCTCTTCTTTTTTTAAAACCAACTCCAAGGAAAAAGGCCCATGGTTCAAATCCAAAATACAAATCGACCTAACAGACCTGATTCTTTTTTCTTGAGACCTCGTTGAGACCATCCTATAAAACCAACTGATTCCATAGTAAAAGTGGGCTTTGCTTTCTGATTCATCCAAGTACCACTGTTAGCATCAATTCACCACCCATTCCAGACAAGTCATACAAAACCAAACACGAATGATCAATTCCAAAAGCCCTCTAACCTTTTTGCTTAGTTTATCAACCCTACACAGAAGTGGAAATTAAAACTCCTCTTCAAATAAGGGAGACGATGCTGAGACGGGCAGGGGTGGGGGAGAAGAGGCAATAAAGACATTTAAGTCCTTCACATTTCACCTAAGTTCTATGGCCCTTCTTTTCCACCGGAAGGGAGACAATCGCACCTTAAAATAAAAATGAACTAATCAAGTTGTTCAGCAGCTTTTTCTCTCCTCTCTTCATCTAGAGGCTTCACCGTCCAGTCAATAAATAATCCATTGTTCCCCCTTTATCGAGTCTCTTTAAACCTATTCAGACTGGCAAAACTAAACCCAATTAAAGATAAGGCCCTCCAGTAATCTCACCTCGGTGAGTCCTGTCTGGATAGCAGAGGTGATGGGAGATAGCGGCCAGGCCGGGACTGATGCCTCCTCCTCACCCCACACAACAAAAGGCAGATTTCTCTTCCTCCCTCTGCTAATCTTTAAATGTAAATTCTCTCCGCCAGCTAAGAGGAGCGACAGATAACACGTTACATCTTCACTTCTCCTGGTCTTATCGACTTCTGAATCATTTGGAAAGGGAGAGCGGGAGAGAGAAAGGCAGCCTCCCCGCGCCCCCCACCCCCACCCCTTCCCACCCCCTCCTCTGCGCCCGCCTCCCTCCCGCTCACGGAGATTACCTTCTGGCAAAGGCGCGCAGGAGAGGCGGCCGCAGCCGAGGCGGCACCCAGACCGCGGCTTTGTATTCATTAAACACACATCGGAGCTTATCAGAAGTAAAAGGCTTGTCAGGATGGCACATTGTGTGTGAGTGAGTGTGTGAGCGCAGGAGGGAGAGGAGAGAAGCCAACGTGCATCAGGGTGATTACAATATCAGCAGGGCCCAGATGGAGGCAGGAAAATAAACAGAGGGTGCGTGTGAGACAGAGCGGCAGAGGGAGGAAAAGTAGGGAGAGGGGGAGAGAGAGAGAGAGAGAGAGAGAGAGAGAGACAGGCTGAAGGGAAGAAACCAAAAGGCATGGAGGGAGTAGGGGGTTCAGGCCCCAGGATGGGGATGGAAAAGGAGGGAGTGGTACCTCAAGGCTGGCTGAGGGGTAGAGCCAGGGCAAGGGGTCCCCATCTGCCCCTACTCCAAGCAAAGGGGAGGGATCCAAACTAGCAAACTGTATTTCCCAGCTCCGGGGCTAGACTGAGGACGTTCTGGAGGCTCTGTCAAGGTCAGAGGGACGTCCAGAGCGCTTTTGGCAGAGCATAACAATGAGACAGTCACCACCTCACCTCCATCCAAATAGGCACGATTTGCAAAACAAACCTAGTGAGTCCTCACAGCAGTTCCACCGCCTAGCAGACCAGCCTCGAGTGGAGTTCTAGTGCTCCCGGGCTGACCCCGGTACTCAATTCCAAGCCGCCCCCTCCCCTTCACACACCCAGAAACAGACACAGGCAGTCATAAAATAGCTGCATTCCCCGGGCTGCAGCGTGTCCCGGCAGAAGACTCGCACGGCCGGCATCACTGTGATAAGGACCACTTGTGATTGGTAGCTACAGGTGACTCTTAGACACCTGCTCCACCTCCAGAAATTGTGTTGGGGAAGGGGGTTCATCTGAGAGTCTATTTTGGAGGTGGGAATTTGAAATTGAGGCAATCAATCTCGGCCTGAGCTGCCTTGCAGCTCTTCACCTTCCCAGAGCCGGAGAATCAATCAGAGAACAAGCAGAGGCTAATGCTCGGCCGTCAGACCAGAGTTCATCCTCCACCCTAGCAGGGTGAGGAGGGAGATACACCTGAGTAGCCCCTTGGGAGCCCCTTTTCACTTTTAAATGCACCCATCAGACAATCAGAACATCTGATCAGATCCTTAATGGAGTGCAGATAATGCAGCAAAGAAGGTTATTTTATTGGGGGGAGCGGGAGTATTTGGTTGTGCTGTGTTTCAAGGCACTGAAGCCTGGTTAAGAAGCTCTCATAGCAGTATGAAGACTGAGTTCCGAATGATGTAGCCAATAAACTACATAATTGTTCCGAGCGCACACTTTAGCCCCAGCTGCAGTGAAATTCTGGGTGATAGAACAGTTTATGCATGGGCTTTCAACATAAAGGGGGAAGTGGGGGAGTCTGGTGGGGGAGTCTGATGGGGGGCTGGGGGTGGGGACAGTAAAGCTAGTGTGTAGAGAAAACCACACACAAGAGAAAGAGCTTCTTTAGCAGTCGTCTCTGAGTAGACAAATTTTGAAGAAGCCTTTTAGAAAGTGAGGAAGGGGGCATTGTTTAATGAAGCACTCCCCTCCAAATCTCTTAGCCAAAAGTGTTCTATGCAGCGGATCCTCACCTCTATCCTTCTCCCTCTATTCCCATTCCAAGAAAAGAATTAAGAGAAATTGGATGGAAAAGGCAAAGTGAAAAAAGCTGGGCATAGGTGGAGGAAGGGCATGTGTGAAAAATCTTGTCATGCAATGAATGTCAGATAAAAAGGGGTCTGTCACAATCTCCCAGTAATCCAATAATGTGGAAAACCTTGTGGCATCACTGAAACGACAACAAGGTAATATTTCTCCATATAGCTTCAAAAAGTGCCCAGGTTCAATAGTTAGAGAAGAGCGCAGAGGTAAGATGTAAACTATTTGGCAGGATACATTACAAAATCCAGTGAGCTTTCTGGGTAAAAATCTCATTCTTACATGTTTTAAATTCAATAACAGACTTCTGGAGTATCATTTCAGCTCTCATGAACGGTCACCCTCAACTTTCCTCTAGCTGTTAAAGAAAACTGCATTCACAGTGACCAGATACAATCACACGTACCTTCTTCATCATTGCATTTTAGTTAAGATCAGTGTGGACACAGACTACATGCAAATGCTTATTAATCCAAAGCAACTCTGGGAAGAAAAAATATACACAATTTACAAATGCCCAGTGATTTTTCCATTACACTCTCTCTGAAGAGATGCTATTTTTAAAATATGCACTACTACTTTCAAGTCCAGAAAAGGCTTCATTTTTCTTTAGAAAGAATCCAAACACTAAAGGGTAGAAGAAAACTGGGCAAAGCTAATCTGCCAGTTTTGTAAATGGACAGTATTTCTATTACTACCTTGTTTGTTCATTGACTTCTGGCTCAGTTATAGAAAAGATCAACCAATTCTCAAATGGGAAGAATCCAAGTCTCTCTTCCAAACACTTTACTGCAAGGCTTTCAATCTTGGACCAAAAAAAAGGGCAATATAATAATGAAGAAATATAATCACATCTTAAGTGTACCACAGAAAGTGGTTTCTATAATCACAGCTGTCTTAAAGTCCACAGAAGAGACTAAAAATCTTAATTTCAACTAGTTCTTTTCTTAATAATAGGTTACCTTCCTATAAAAGCAAGAAGTCCATCTGCCCCAGGCAGATAAGTTTTGAAGCATTAATTCAGATAAAAATCTAGCATTTTCTTTCTTTGAGTATGTGAATTCTAGTGTGCTATAATGTGAGAATTCCAACATATGACCATTATAGCATAATATCTCATTGCTCAGCTTGTCATTATTTCATTTGTAATTCTTATGTTAATTATGTTCATAATTACTATAAACAGATGTGGTAGACATTCATGTGACCTTTTATTGCAGAATGCATTCCTCACTCATTTTGCTCTAATTTCTCATGTATGTGAAACTGAAATGCAGGAAAAAAATTTTCTAATGCTTCACATGCATAAGTTAAAACAAAACTACCTCCTACTTCATCTGCATTTTAAAAAATCAGAATATTCTTAGTATTTAGGCTGCTTTACAGCACCTCTCAAAATTGCACACTGAACCCTCACTGCTGCTCACTAAATTGTAGCTATAAATGCCAAACAAAGGCTAGCATCCATGTCTAAGTTGTTTGTCTTTTTTTTTAATATCAAAGGTTAATGCAGCAGAATTGTGCTTCAAAACCCAGTGCCTAGCAGCTACATAGCGATTTATTCACTCATAACTCAACCATCACTCTCTTTACCTAAAACACATTTACAATAAAATCAGTATGGATTTCATTAGTTGAAAACCTCCTCAAATTTCATTTCTTTGGCCCTAATCTATAATTAGTGTGGACAGACAGGTGCAAACCCTTCTCTTCTACAGATGGCTACTGGAAATGGTGCAAAGTAGCTCCTTCTGTTTAAACAACACAGAGATAACCTGCTCTGTCTTATCACTTACAATTACCTCCATTAAACTGAACTAATGTTTGCTTTAATAAAATGTTCACTGTTCTTTAAACATTATTTAGGAACTCTTATATTAATGGCTGTAAAAAAAAAAGTGAAGTTGGAAGGTGTCTCTTTAGGTGATAATAAATAACTTATTCTGGATAACATGTTCCCACTGGTGGGTAATACTCTGATGTCCACAAAGGTGTTCTTGATTTAACACTTGTTTGTAATTTTGCACAAATAAGGTCAAAAATGATGTTTTAACAAGATACATAGATGACAAAATTTAACAAGTGGAGAGAAACATTTTTCCTGAAGTATAGAAGCATGAAAGGTTTCAATTTTTTCCTTATAGATTTTAGTTATGGAAGTATTAACTCAAGATCTGACTGTTTTTCAAGGATATTTGTTAACCTAATTTCATGTATTTATAATTTCTGATAAATTATTCTTAAAGTTGTATGAGTTCATCTTTTAAGGCACATTTTAAAAATTAACTATGAATGTAAGTGTATCCTGCAAGCACAGGGTTAAAAATAATTCCATTCCAAAATATGTAACTTCTATAAAACCAGAGATCACTTCTTCCAGGTTCTGCTATCAATAAAACCTACGGAATACTATATGATGAATAAGGGGTCCATAAAACAAAGAACTTTTAAATGCCCAAACAGCAACAAATAAATAGCTTTCCTCACTGAACTTACATAACTTACAGTAATAAACTCCAGTAAAATGCAACTGACTCATTTTTTTCACATGCAAATCTTGCAGGTGCCTATTTTTCAGACTGCTTTGCTATGAAGGGCTATGTTGCCTGCATAAAACCTCAATGAAGAAGGCTTTGCATTCAGTGCCTGTCAGCTGATGTTCATATCAAAGAAGTGAGAAACAGGATTTGACAGTGAAGAATGTCCTAGACTGACAACCACTGACCAGCATTCCTATTGGAAGCATTTCTTTCTTGTGATCCCTTTTCAATGTTTAAAAAAAGGGGGGGAGGGGTTGGTTAAGCTTCTATTTTACAATAAAATAAATGATAATGGCATCTTACATTTGTGTACTCCTTTGCAGTTTATGAAGTGCTCTTTTTTTTTAGCAAATATTTAGACTAACACCCTCAATGGTAAAGAGAGCTCATGATCAAAGCAATATTTTGCTTCTTTCCTAAAGGGAAATTTGTAAAATTAAAAAGCTGCAGTTTGTAACAGCAACACATACTCTCCTGCTTTTTCCATGCAACTTGCAATTTCATAGTACACTTTGCATTTCATTACAAGTAGGATTCTTCAAATTAGAAGCCTTCAAATTTAAGGATCATTTCAAAATCAAATTATTCGTAGGTCACAGAGACTATATCTACAAAGGAAAATATCATTTCAAAGAATTCTGGTCTGCATGAGTTGTTCAAACATTTTTTTAAAAAATTAGACTGTTTTCTCCACTTTTTTTTTTTTAAAGCTCTGACCTGGACTCTGGAAAAACTACATAGTCAAATTCTCCCACTCAATATTTAGCTTTTCAAAGAAAGAGACCACTGTCTGAATGGTTCACAATAAATTAATGCCTTAACCAAGACTTTTCTTCCCTTAGTGTAATCTTAGATAAAAATCTAAGTTATGTACCCAGATGAGCATGATTACTTGGTTATTTTGTTGAAATTCTGTGTATTTTGAAAGAATAAAGCAAAGAAATATGAAATGCTTAAGTACAAATAAAAAAATGATAGACTTCAACTTCCTCAACATCCACCCTGGCTGCAAAAAAAAAAAAAAAAAAAAAAAAAGGCCTGGATCAAATTAATATTCCCTGATTAATACTGTCATATATCCCTTATTAAAAAAATAACTATCAGTGAAAAGAAAGAAAATCAAATGGCCCTGTGTGCTATATGAAAGCCAACATAATATTAAAACTAAGTAAGACTTTAAGGATTGATATTGGAGAAAATCCACAGAATTATGATTTGCTTCTGTGTGTGCACATCACTGCTGACATAAACACCCAGGTTGGAGCTATGATGGCTTAAGAAACAGTGGTGTTTGTTGACCTTTTCTAAGGAACTGTGTGACAGGAGAAACTGGGCACAGCACAATACACACATGGTCAAAGCCAAGCG